CCCGCCCAACTCAAATGGGGTTTAAAAACAAACAACACATGTTTATTTAGGTAATAGTGAGGTTTTTTTGTTTTTTGTTTTTTTTAAACTAGAGAGAGTAATTTATCCCTACCATGAATAAACCCATATACATATAAAATATACTTGTAAAATCACTGTAAAGGAGTAAATACTGAAATACGTAACCATAAAAAAGGCCAAAACCAAATTAATGCACAATAATCTGTGATACAGTATTTATTTTTAATGAGAGTTACATAATTTTAGTGGAAAATTAAAGGAAAGCTCAGTTCATTGGGAAGTATCACAAAACTAAAGGTTCTGAAAGAAGCTATTTTTCTAGGGCAGAATTAAATCTTGAAAGTCTTGTCTATCTGTGCTTCCAAGTAAGGAATAAAAGCAACTAAAATTTCACATAATAGCCATAATAATTTTCCATAGCAAAATAAGCTTTTATAGTGGAAAGCTACCAAATCCAAGGAAATAAAGTAATAATGTTCATGTTATACATGATAAAATGAATACACTTATTAAATCATTCTAACAGTAAAGTGCTCTGTTCTTGAGTTTCTAATCAAAGGATAATCAGCTAGTTAAACAGAGTCTATATCAAGACAAAGGAAAGCATGTGAATGTATATTCTCACACAGACAGAATGAGGTACAAAAAAAAAGTTTCTTTTCATTGAATTTCACACTGAAATCTCCTCAGTACAGCTGAACTAATGGGCTCAATATTCGGTCCCTGCATTTAGAATGTCCTAATTAGAACATATAACAGGGGTGCTTGGCTGACTTAGTTGGTGGAGCGTGAGACTCTTGATCTCAGGGTTTTGAGTTTGAGCCCCACCCTGGGTGTAGAGCTTACTTAAAAATAAATACATATATAACTTAAAAATAAAATAAAATAAAATAAAACATGTAAAAATAGTACCCTGAATTTTGTGGGGTTTTTTTAATGGATGAGTTTATCATGAAGTAGTTAATTGATGCTTTGGAGGAGATAAGATATAGGACAGGCAAATCTCAAGACTGGAAACTTGATACATAAGATCTGCATACGTACAGCACTTGGGCAAGAGAAAGGAGAAGCAGGAAATAGGAAAGAAACATTCAGGGAGCTTGGATACACAGGAAAGCCTTCTTCCCCTTTAAGTAACATGTTTGATAATGAGGCTGGTAATGAGACTTCCACCCAATCCTAAACTCCCACCTCTGGCAAGCTCAAGGTGCTTCCTAAGGGATCATCCTTCAAGAACAGCTTTTTCAAAGATGTTACTTCATTGGTCAATTCCTCTACGAAAGACTTTTTTTTGGCGGGGGGGAGGTCTTTGTTCACTTTTCTTTGTCGCTGGAAACTGAGGGTCTTTAAAATTGGGTAGCTTGTAGAAGTCAGTCTTGGTCTCAACCCACCGCAAAAGGAAAACAGAATGCCCACTATCTGGTATTTGATTCCGAGTTAAATAACTTGACAGCACTTATTATCTAACCAATTTGAAACGCAGAATATAAATGGCTTTGACTTTATCAATAAAGAAATAACAGTAGTGAAA